GTGATTGTGATCAAGTCATATACGTGATAATCCTGATACAGTTCACAGCAGAGAGTTTCACTTAGCGATGTGTGTTATTCCTATTCACCTATATCAACGAATCTAAGTCTAGTCTATCATCTTCTTCTTATCATATTATTATCATAACATATCGAAACCATTTTTATAGGATTGTTCAATCTGTGTTTATAGATCAGAGTTTGACAATCCAAATCATTTTAAATACGAAATCACTAACTGATATCAATTTGAATAGCACCTATCTATATCCATCACTCTGATTTCATAGTGTCTGGAGTAATTAAATTCGACGGTTTAATCTTAACTGCGCCAAGCTGTGACTGAGGCGGTTCGCAATCGTTCTCGATTTGGGTACTCGGCAGAGCACAAGCCGATTGATCGACGTTTTAAATTGATTGCCAAAATGCCAATGATATTGAGAAAAGGCTGCTCAACACCAAGGCATTTGATCGAGTCTGGCATCACGGACTCCTCGCCAAGCTTCCATCTTATGGCTTGCCTCCCCAGCTATGTTCTCTGCTAGCTAGTTTTCTCTCAAACAAGTCTCTCCATGTTGAGGTCGACGGAGTTTCATCTGACTCTCTCGTCATAAATGCTGGTGTTCCATAAGGATCAATTCCAGCACTAACACTATTTCTACTCCATATCAACGATTTGTTGGAAGCAACTTCATGTCCAGTACACAGCTTGGCGGATGATAGTACCCTCCATACCGCCATCTCTTCCAGGGTTCCAATTCCAACGAGGCGAGTCAGAAACGAACGAGGGAGAAATGTTGACAACATAAATATGGACTTGACAACAATTCTCGAATGGGGATCCAATAACGTGGTAGATTTCAATGCAAACAAAATACAAGCATGCCTTTTCTATAAGAAAGCCAATCTCACTGTGCCCAACAAAAGCTTGTCAGGAGTAACCATACCTTTGAGGACATCCATTTCGATGCGTGAGACTACTATCAGCAATAACCTCTCTTGGGAAAATCACGTGATATCAATTGCTGAAAGTGCATCGCAAAAACTTGGTTTCCTGTTTCGGACTAGGAGCTATTTCACTTCCAGTCAGCTGTTTATGATCTATAAGGCACAGATTCGACCTGTCTTGAAAAACTGTTCCCATATTTGGAGTGCAGCACCCAAACATACCCTGAAACTGTTGGATTCTGACCAAAAAAAGGCAATTCGTCTTGTGGGTGATGCCTTGTTAATAAAGTCACTCACTTCACTGGGACACCGTGAAAGAGTTGACGATCTGGCTCTATTTTGAAGATATTTTCATGGACGATGCTCTTCTGTAATATCAACAATTGTTCCTTCCTTGGCAGTCTCCGCGATACTAACCCGTCTAGTTGAGGTTTCGTACTCCTTCGTGGTTACTTTGGAGACCTGCTGAACATCCCTTTCCAAAGATTCGTTCATCCGACGAACAGCGAGGCTCTGGATTACATTGCCAAGGAAGGTGTTTCCCGAGGCATATAACCTCCATGAATTTAAGAAGAACACCAATTCCTACTTTATTTTCCTTGGTTCTCACGATGTTCTCCGAACATCACAGGATATTTTGAATTGACTCGGCCGTTACTCAATGGGAATCCATGACAAATGTAAAAACTCCACAAACGATGAGATTTCCACAAAATTCTCGAAAACACGATATGTTTCGCTAACACAGTAGCTTCGTCAGATGATATACTGGTATCATGAACTGAACTAACGTTGGCTTGCTTAACTTTTATATATCTTACTTTCCCAACCTGAAGGATTATTTACCTGTGGACAGGTACGATAAACCTCCATTTTCGGAAATTAGGCACTATCTCTACATTTAAATACGGTATATCGGATTAACTTGAAAGAGTTGATAGCAAATACATATCATTACTTACTAGGAAAACGAATTCAACAGTAGTGAACTATTGAAGTCCAATTGATCATTAATTAAAATGTCAAATTTTTTTTGGGTTTGTTGATTTCTAATAATTCAAAAACAACCATAGTTTTGATCATAATTTCGAAATTCTGCACATAGAAAATGAAGGACTGAGAATCATTAATTTTCAATCATTAGAAATCAACAAACTCAAGAATTTTGACATTTCACTTAATGATCAATTAGACCTCAATAGTTCACCACTGTTGAATTTCTTTTCTCAGTAAGTAATGATATGTATTTGTTATCTACTCTTTCAAGGTAATACGGTATACCGTATTTTAATGTAAATATTGTGCCTAATTTCCTAAAATGGAGGCTTATCGTACCTGTCCACAGGTAACTTATCCTTCAGGTTGGGAAAGTAAGACATATAAGAGTTAAGCAAGCCAACGTTAGTTTAGCGAAACATTTCGTGTTTTTGGGAATTCTGTGGAAATATTATCGTTTGTGAAGTTTTCACATTACAGGATATTCCTTTTCGTGGGAACCAGAACATAAAAAAATAAATATTCGAGTAAAATGAAGTGTGTGGTATATTTTGAGCTCTTTGATGATGTTTGCACAATTATAAAAATATTTTTTCCAGGCCTTTCTTGACTTAATATGTCTTACATGCACCTGCGCGTATGACATGCTGTCATGGCAGTGTTCAGTCACATTGTTTTCGTTATGATGACATATGATGTGATACATATTCCACATTGGGATTTATGGTTTCATGCTTCCCAAATTTCTACCCATATTATTTCTGATGGAGCAAGAACAGATTCCATAAATGCGAACAGGGGACATGTGATACCATTTTTGAAAGGTATATTGATTGTCTATACAACAGTATGATAATTCGAATATTTATGAATACAGGTTCAATCAAAACTGTTCATTAATCAAAATACAATGGAATTATAGAAAATATTCAAATTGACGACCTTCATCAATAATGCAATGTGAAAGCCGGGCAGTTAATTTTTCTCTGACGTTTTCGAGAACTTCGGAGAACAGTATTTGAGAAGCTTCGTACATCGACATCGTAGTGTGGGGGTGCATTATTCTTCTGGAACCACAAATCATTCATATTTAGAAAAAGCTGATTCAGTTGTGGATAAATTGTGAATACTGAGCACCAGTTACGCTTTTCTCTAAAACATATGGCCCTATAACCTGGTTGTTCAAGATTCTTGCCCACACATTCAACTTTTGTGGATATTGTGTGCTATGCATATATCCAATGTGGATTTTCCCTTGCCCAGTAACGAAACATCTCGCGATCAACGTGGCCGTTGAGCATAAAAGTAGCTTCATCTGAGAATAGAACCTTCTGTATAAAAGTACATTCTTCGTTAAAGCGTTCCATCATGATTTCACAGAATTCAACTCTTTTATCAAAGTCATCTTCTGATAGCTCTTGGACCAGATGAACTTCATATGGATGCCACATATCTTTTTTCAAAATTCGAACAACAGTAGATTGGTGTGAATGAGTATCTAGTGCGACCCACCTTCAGGTAGTATGGGGGTTTTCTTGAAACGCAAGAATTACGTCAAATTGTTTGACTCCTGAAATAGATTTACTATCACTCCTAGGTAGATCTGTAACATGACCGTTTCTCGAAATTCTCTCTCAATTTTGCTGATTGTTGATTAAGAGACGGGTTCTCGGTTGGGGTATTTAGCATAAAATGAATCATGAACTCCTGTCTGAGTCCACAGTTCATCTCCACAGCCAATCATAATTGAAATATCGATTCGTTCGGTTTCTGTGAGTCTCATTGTGAGATTCTAAGCGAGTTGAATATTTTCATAAAAATAATGACGAACAGTTAAATGAAACTACGTGATACTAATTTAAAATTAAAGTGTAGGAATGTAAAACTATTTTCAATGAATGTATTTTTGTTAAATAACCAGAACGATAGAATGAACTACGATGTTTCATCCTCAATGGCGGTCCTCAGCATGATTTAAATCAATGAATGGATATTACTTGGTTGTTATTTCAACTTCCTGAAAACATAATTGTGGTTAACCCTCTGATTATCTGCATATCAGAATGGACGATCAGTAGACCTTTCAAATGAGGTGACCCCTGTTTCTATTTGAAGAAATCGGCTTTCACGTCATTACCCCAACACTGCTGACGTAACATCTCTCGAATGTTCATCACCTGATGAATCTTCAAAAATTGAAACTTACGTGTTCCTGTTTGTTTTTCGAAAGAACCCTATTTTTGAAAAAATGAATTTATTCCATACATTTGCATCGTACTTATATTAGGAAAATATCGAGGGTTGCTTCTGTTTAATTATTGATAAATAATTTATATTAGTGTTGCCTTCCATTTGATACCGATTAACTGAGAAATGCCTGACCTTAGCCAAATTCTTGAGGTTTTTTCCACTGAGTATCTGTTCAATTATTCATGAGTGTATTAAGAACAAAGGTAACATTTCTATATCATGACAAGAGGTGAATATCTATTGATCTATTCGGATGATGATTGCAGATATGGAGTAAGTTTACGTGGTTTGAAAACAATTTGATATAATGTTGATATGAATATTCATCCAATATAACTAGAAGCATTTTTGGATTCCACTCATTCAGAATTATATCACTATGACGTTTATAGGGTATGGAAATTCACATTTGAAAGCATTATGCAAGAAATGCGTGAATGTGAATTACTCAACTATCAAGCAATTGGAAAACGAGTAGGTACCTGATGATGATTCTTTTCTCCAATATTTGAGGTAAATTGAATGGAGAATGCTCCTGTCAGTTTGTTGAAATTGAATTGTATAAAAAAAGAGGGGCCTGATCAATGGATTTGTTTCTGCAACAGACGATTCGAATATTCTTTGGGGAATCTAGGAAATAGAACCGTACCTTTGAGTATCCACAGGACCGTACCGATTGTGAAACCAAGAAAGAATACTTTTCTGCCAAGTTATTCCGTTTGTCTGACATAAAAATAACTTACATATACTCAGCGAGATTCCTCCATGAATGTTTAATGAGTTGAAATAATTATTTGAAACGCTCACCTTTTCTCTCAAAATCAACAATTTGCTGGTTTATCTCCTCCATGCTCTACCAAGTTGAGAATCACTAATAAGTAGTATCTGGCATGTCATTTAGATGAACCAGCAAAAGTTAATCTTATCTGAATAATTTTCGAGTTTCAAATATCTACAACAACTTCTTTTTGCAATATCGAATACGATCTAGAGTGATTACATGTAACTGACTATAAATCTATTGTTTTTATAACAATTGTCTTCAAGTGTTCTGGACGGAAGCATTGGAATAATTTTTTTATCTAAGATAAACAGATTTGAGAAAACATTCCTCGATTTGATGACGATCAACAGACGTTCGAACTTGAATTTTATCTTTGGAATCAAAATGCGCAACAGTCATATTTATTTGTTTTTTTTAGCGACAAGAAATTGGCCCAGTTCATGTTGGGGAGAATTGTTCGAATCCAAAACTATTTGTCATTGTTAATGTCAACCAGTCATTGTGTTCATGGATTCTTGAAGTACAATATCCTAGGTATATGTATTTCCTTCGGTTTTTATCGTGAACTAGTGTTCTAACATGAAAATACCATCATATTCGATGAACAAAAGTAACTCGAGGACTCGACGATCTGACAAATAACCTTCCATGATTGGAGTGATGAAATAGTGACATATCTACAAGAAACCTGTTGTTTGTTTCTAATCAAACCTTTGAGGTGCGATTTGGATAATACAAAGAAAAAAGTACAGGAGAATCCACCGTGGCCTGCTTCTTCCCTACAAACTGATGAATAACCATGTAGACTCTCCAGAACTCCTGCAGTAAATAAACATGTATGTACACTCTTTTCCACCGAACATGTCGCGATTGGACGGCATGAGCGCTCTTATTGCAGCGATGATCAAGGGAGCAGACTCCGTCATATGCGACATGATCTCTGACGAGTTTACCTGACCACCGGACGCGTCCCAGACGCCTCACTTTTTTTTGCCAACACTACATATACTTCTGACTCAATATGCCAATAAAACAATCGATATTTTCTCGAATATAATTTGGATATATTCAGATCAAGTCTCGAATCCTTCTGAATGGCCGTTTTTGAAATGAGAAGTGACCACTAAAGTCGTTCTGGTGCTGAACCCCTTACAAGTCATCTTTTTTCATCAATGTTATGTTGTTTTTCAGCAAACTGATAGGAACAGAAACGTGCAATTTACGTAACGTGTATGTTTCTAATGAAGAATGCATGAATAGATAAATAAATAAATGAATATATTCAAAGTTTAGAGTTTCACAGTTTCAATGTCAGAGTTAAGTCATGCCTATTAGCTCATCTTCGAACCAACTTCAGTTACGATACTCAATGAATTACTGAATGAGCTGTCGAATTTTAGATTTGTATAGTTCTTGATGCGAAAAAGCCATCCCAGCATCTGAGTGAAGGCTCTAGCTATGTAAGAGATATGGTCAATTGGTCATGCCAAGACAAACTTCCAGACAGTACACCAATCATCGATGAAGATAAAAGGGAGTACGTACTCACTGGGCGAAGAATTATGACAGTTTCATGATATTCTTGTAACCTTGATTACATGTTACGTTATAATACAGTGTGGAGACTTTAACTGGAATTAATTAGTTAGCGGGGAGGTGGATATTTTTTCTGAAATTTCTTGGTATACGTCAACGATTCAATGTATTTATCTACCTTTTGCAAGCAATATCGTGAAAATGTACCTACAGGGGTAGATGGAACCACCCTCAACATGATTTTTCCATATATAACCCTATGGCTTGTGACCCCTCTTTGAAAAGCTGGTGAAAACAGGAATCCAGTGTACTAGTCAGAAGTTTTTCATATGTTCAAAGGTTGCACAAAATTAAAATGTAATTTTAGAATCAAATTCTTGGTGCCGCAGGTTATGTCTAGCGCGTATCATTTTGATTCATTATTCCAGTCACGACTTTGCGGCCTCCGACGCCACGCAGAGTCATGCTGGACAAAGTCCAATAACTACCCCTCACAGCCTGTGGGGTGAATAATCACTGGAACCAAGAACCGTGTGCCCTGATTGAACGGAATGATCCGAGTATGACGGCATTCTGCATTCCACCAGCCAGGATGTCGGTGCACGCTGGGATTTCCTGGATTTCCAGGAGCAGCGTATTTCGTGTGCCTCCTAGGGAGCCGATTATCAGGATGAGCAATTACACAGAATGGTCTGGAAATAGCCTGCGGAGTTCGAAGAGAAGATCTTCTCCTCCTTCAAAATGATGTTCGGTTTGGCTGGCGCTGAAAACTTGATCACGAACACCGCTTCTGTTTGATGGTCGAGGAGGAATGGCTTGTTAGCTCGTATTTGCCTGAGGGTGGGGAATGGAAAGTTCCAATAAATTCGGCACCTCTCATTCTCCACAACGGACTCAATATCCGCCAGAGCATAGGACAGCACTGGGGTCTCATCTATTCCGTACGAGTACCTCAAGTGGTAGTAGAACACTCGCAAAGCCGCCTTGTGTCTGTGGATATAGGCCGAGACTGAATACACCGTGCAAGAAGACAGCAGGTGCCTAATTGTTTCGAGCGCCCTGCGGCAGGCCCTGCAATTTGTGTCAGAGACCTCCATACCCATGACACGGCTACGGTAGATGAGAGTGTCAAGTACCCCATCCTGGCATGCCATGATGAACTCCCACAATCATTATTATTATTATTATTATCATCATTATTATTATCATTATTATCATTATTTTCATCATCATTCACGATCACCAAGGGGCAGTTTGGCGATGGCTTCACATCCAAATTGGTTCACTTTATATCGGTCTGCCAATATCAAAAAGTGCACAATAATTCAGTTTATCTGCTAAACTAATTCATGTAAATCAATTCATCCATTGAGACTGAAATTAACCTCGAATTGAATAGTGACCTCTCACGTTCTTAGATAATGTTGATCAATCAGGTTATGATTTCACGTTCGATCTTATCAATATCAGAAGATACAATGAATTTATGCAAGTGTGTTCTAAGAGATTAGATATAACTCGTTAATTTATCATGAGAGCATATCTTGATTTCAGTTTGCATACCAGGCCTCTTGAAGGAGTGAGTTGAATAGCATGGATTTTGATGCCCTGTAGGTAAATGTTGTGACGAATGAAGTATCGTTCCCCTTGTACTCCAATTAGTTCCATGATTTGACTTAAAATCCTCTCGAAATTCCTATCGTCATTTATTCATTCAAGTTCAGGTCACTCAACAGGTCAGATTTTCAATAATACAGTGGCACAATTTCTAAGAAGAAACTGAGTCACAGTTTGAATCACATTGATCGAATTGCCGGTAAAGAGATTCTGCGAGCAGTGAGGAGTTGTTAATATAGGTATATCATTTTTTCAACGACTTAAAATTCCATACATACTCAGTTAAGTGGTCATTCCAAAAGAGATTACCTCAGATAATTGATCAGCACACCTTCCATTATTATAGTATAACGGTAGAAAGGTGACAAATTGGCAACGTTTCTTCAAAGTTGTAGTCTGTCCCAAATTATACCCTCAATCCATATAATAATACTCCTCGTCGTCTCCACAACGTTCAATATAATGGAAAACTATTTTCCTCCTTCAATTCATCTTTGAAGGACGAACATATTCTTTCACCCAAAGAACAAATCCATTTCGATTGCCAAAAAGTCTTCAATACCTTGAGTTTCTGATGTCTGTGTTATTGTTCCCTCTTGCTTTGGTCTCCAGTGTATGTTCTCCTTATCAAAATTCTCATAGCATTGTTAACCTTTGGTTGTTTCCCCTACTATCTTCATATTATGATGTCACCATTCACAAGTTTGTCATGATTTTCATGGAACCAATTGTCTCTTGTCCTGCATCTACGTTGACAGATGGAATTATGTCTGTCAGAGTTGTGTTTGAAATTGACATCTGATCACATGGTATAAGGTTGATCCAGCGAGATTCAAATGATCTTTCGGCCTCCTGATGTGGCGATACCACTAGCTCATCGGAGCACAGGGCCCCAGTTTAGGAAACCTGTTATAATAACTGAAGTTCTTTAAGATTCTATGAAACTATATTCTCCAAGCGGCAAGGATAGCAGCTTTTTCCTGCTGCTCAACAGGCAAAAAAGGTGTACTTTTACTGCCTAGACAGGAAAAGTTTGTTGCTATGCTACGCTCCAAGAAATTCTAATGAAATTAGTAATCGAAATTGACATTTAATGAACACAAAATGATGGGTATTCGAATAAAAAAATTACCAAAAATCGTTTTTTAAATCATTTGGAGGAAAAATGCTATGTTTCACACGGCAGCAAATGTAGATTGACTGAATTACTAGCCTCGCTACGCTCGGCTATGAACATTTGGCCGCGACAGTCAATCTACTACTTTTCTGCCTAGTGAAACAGATAAATATTTTTGGAACGTAATGTGATTCCAGAAAAAAAAATTTCTGCTCCACGTAAGTAGTACTATGTTTCACCATTATTACCGTTTTATTGTTGGTTTGTTCTTTGTGAAATATTTTTCTCAATCGGCTGATGATGTATACTCTATAGATCCGAATCATATGTGCCCTTTCCATTTATGATTTGATGATTCTGATGATATCAAACGTTGTGGAGAGGAATTGGATAGTCATTATGAACTACTTCACCCTACTTTGAGACAACATGGACTTCTAAAGCAGGTTATACCCTCAATATTTTGATCTCAAAATATTGACTCGACTGTTTTGTTTTCTCTCTTTTTTCAAAGAACATCGTGCGTTCCTAGGGAGGATAGGGACAGGAGGTAGGTATTGGAATTTTTTTCAACTCCTGGAGATTATATGTTGTTGGGAATACTTCCTCAGACAATGAATTCCAGAGCCTATCCATTTTATGGATGGAGGAGTTTTGTTAAAGTGCTGTCCGACATCTTTCGAAGTTGACTACGAAAGGATGTGCTGACTGGGCTCGTTTAGGTCTTCTGAAAGGAATGAGGTGATATCTGGAAACGATAGATGCTAGATGAACATTAAACACAGGGACGACCAATTTGTCTACTTCAATCTTGATATTCATCTGAAATAATTATTAAATGCAATGCAAAAATGTCTAATAAAGT